AAAGGCCTGCAATGCCCTGCTGGCGCTGTCACGCGGTACTAGGTTTTTCTGTCGCACACGGGGGCGTGTCCAAGAAGCTAAACCTAGGACGACTGCAGACCCACCACGAAAGCAGAAAGCCACAGAGTCCAAGGCTCCGCGCTCAGTTCTCATATTCCAGTCTGGTCCAAGTGACTAGCTGCCATCGGCCCAGATTCCTGTTTTGGCCTACAAACACTGCTGTTTGGGTGAAATTCGGCATCCTCAACTCGAAGTTTCGAGTTGGAGCATGCCTCCGCAGGCTTCAGAGGCTCTGCGCTGGCCCAGCGATGCGCTCAAAAAGCTCCGCCTCGCCGTCTCACAGCTCCTTCTTCGCCTGACCGCGATCTGAATCTGGTGCTTGCACAGACTTGTCATCCTTTCCCCCGCATCGTCAGACATGGCGATTCGAGCACTGTACCGCTGTCCCTCCCATCCTCTCCTGCAGTGAGCAACAGGTAAACAACTGTAATCACTGGAACAAGCTTTTGAAACTGATGAACGCTGACAGAGGTTGCGGTGGGGGCCGTCATCAGCAACAGCAGCAGGAGCAGAAGCAGGAGAAGCGGCAGCAGCAGTAGTCGTAGTAGTAGTCGTCGTGGTGGTAGTCGTGGTGGTAGCGCAGTGGTAATGGTGGTGATGGCGGTAGTGGTTGTCGTCATCGTCGAATCGCAGTAGCAGTCGTCGCAGCACTTGTCAAGTCGTCCTCGTGTTCCTCGTCCTCGTCCTCCCTCCTCCTCCTCCTCCTCCCTGTCGTCGTGGTTCATGGTGGCCAGTGGTGGCCAGTGGTGGTCAGTGTTGGTCTCAGAGGTGGTCACTGGTGGTTTTGTTGTAACGGCTGTGCTCGTGCTCGTAATAGCGGCGGTGGCAGTAGCAGTGGCAGTGGTGGTAGCAATAGCAGTAGCAAAGGGACCTGTCTTCAAGACAAATCTTCCAGGTCTCAACAGTACAGAATCCTCCTGGAATCAACAGCATCGAAAGACCACTTGCCAGCCTTCTTCTTTTTGGACTTCTTTTTCTTCTTGTCGTCGCCACCCTTCTCCTGGAAACCCGACCCAGCGCCGTGGAATACGGACCACCTGCATCCTACTAGTGGGTTAGTTAGGCGAAGGGAGAGACTCAAGCCTTTGCCTTTACACCGTCTTGAGGGTCTGGTCCAAGGGAGGGCGCAAGCAGGAGTTGCCAGGCTACGAGTATGATCTCACATGACACTCCCGGCTCCTTCTCGATGGCATCCATGGCAGCTTGCCTGCTATGCATCCAACGCCAAGTCTTCTGATGCACATCAACACTTTCTGGGGCATGCCAGCCAGATGTTCCGACTCCGGCCTTGCTGCCTTCTTCTTTGCCCTCCAGGCTGCCTTTTCGGCATCAACCTGCTCGAACTTTCCGCGAGTATTAGAAACTCTCTGCGTTGCAGCCACTACTCTTTCTTGTCGCCAGGACGGTAACGGCAAAACCTGCAGTTGTCGCACGTGAGAAACACGCCATGCAAAGAACACGAGCCTCATCATCATCGCCAGAGCCCTTCGACAGCAGTTCAAGCTAAATCTGTTGCGACACCACAAGTATCCGAGCCCCGCCTTTTTCGGCAGCGCGGCAACGCAGCCACTGCTCAATTCGCTCTGGCTGGTCCACTGCGTTAAACAAGTCATGGTATCGCCATGATAGTACCTCAGCTCTGTTCAAAGTCATCTGGCATGCGGTGGTGCTAGTCGGCGCCGGCAGCCTGCATGCGACTGACCCAGCCAAGAGTTTCACTGTATATGTCGGAATGCTGCTGCCAAAGTCACATTCCTTGGCAGAACTGATCGATCTCGCTGTCGCAGGCTTTGTTCACCTCAACGAAATCCTGCCCAGCCAGGATTCTCTGAGTCTTTATCGCTGAACAAGATACTTGCGATGGCACGTGATTTCGCCTAGTGCTACCTCCCCTGCACGGCAACATGCTGAACTGCAAAGCAAGTCTCCTTGCAACTAGTGGACAACTCCAGGGGCTTCTCCTCAGCTGCAGTTGACGAGCGCAGCGGCAAAGCGTAGAAGTAACACGGTACAGAATCATCCTCAACGCTGAAAGCCCAGTCCAAGATGCACCAGGTTCAAGCTCCCGTGGGTTGCCGTCAATGTCCGTCAACTGTCGTCCAAGGCTGATCCAGTTTAGGGCGTAAGAAACGGACTGAGCTAGGCAATCTAGATCATGCCCGTGCGCCAAACTTGCGGTGAAATGCCAACTAACAAGGATAGAGATGACGGTAAGGATAATGAGAATGACTGACAATCACTGGCAACGACAATAGTCAGGAAACTGACAAGGCACTGGCACGGATGTTGTTAATTATAGTGACAGTGCGAATGACAATGAGAACAATTACAGGCCGCCCCCCGCCCGTTTGCTCCACTCAGGTCCGGTTGCTCAGAGCTTCCATGCCAAAACCACAATAAAGTGCATTTGCCAAGGTCCAGTCGCAAACCATAATACCGTTACCACGGCATCCGTGGCCAGAGCAACCATAACAAGGAATTCCGTTTACCAGAACATTCATTTTCCAAATCATCCACGCTCACAAAAAGAATGACAACGTCCACCAACCAGAGCATCCGGTTGCCAGACCATCCATTCACAAAACTATACCAACGAAAAAAAAAGGAACATCCGTTTGTCAGCGTGTCCATGCCTGCCCTATAATGATGTCCATCTACCAGACCATCCGATTGCCAGAGCATCCATGCCTAAACCATAACCAAGTCCATGTACCAAGAGCGACCATAACAAAAAAAATGCTGGAGCACACCGTTGCCAGAGCATCCACGCTCAAACCATGTTAACGTCCGTTTACCAGAGCATCCTTTGCCAGAACATACATGCCGAACCATAACAACGTCCAGCTACCACAGCATCCGTAGCCCAAATTCATAGCAACGTCCGTCTGCCACCGTATTCATTTGCCAGAGCACCCATGCCCGAATATTACATAGATCAACATATTAGTTTTTTGGTATGATATACTGCATTATTTCATTATTTAAGCTTTTCTGTTGTTCTGTTCTAGTGTAAAACCTTGTTTTATCTTATGCTACCTTATCCTACAATGGAGTATATTGTATGATATTACACTGTATTATATATATATATATATATATATATATATATATATATATAGCTTTGTATATATATATATATATATATACATATATACATATGCTATAGTAAAAAAAGCTATACTATATTATACATATATATATATATATATGTACAAGTGTATTTGTATTTATTTGTTTGTTGGTGTATTATTTGTTTATGTATTTACTGATACCATACTAGTCGTGCCCCATGTCCACATAAAGTGGGGCAAACGGGCTGCGCGCATGTCCAATGCTTAGAAGAACACTAAAAAAGAATAATAGAAAGAAGAAGGAAACATATTTTCGCTGTAACCAACAGTAACAGAACCAGAACCTCATCAGAAATCTGCTACAGTGTCGTCATGGTTGTCTTTGTTATTGTTCCCTAAACCCCGTACCCCTCATTATCCGGCCTGGTGCTTCGAAGGGTCGAGGAGGCACTCCCCGATCTCCTGCATCCGCAAAGAACGCAAGTCTAAGTCGGTTTAGGTGTTCGCGGATTTTGAGTGGCTTAGAGGGTTAAGGAGTTTAGAGGAATCAGCACAAAAGCTCGATCACATGAAAAAGCTAACGCACGGATAACTGTGTACACATGGATGCACTTACATGGATGCTTGTCTAAGGCTTCGTGAAAACTTAAGTACTTAAGGCACCATACTGTACCGCACTCTTTTTCCGGCATGGCCGCAATTCATGCAAGACGTCCTTCCCGATGCTCATCGGGCATACCCGACCGGCTTCATCGTCGCATGGCGATAGCGCCTTGACAAAACAACTTTCCAAGCAAGAGATCATTACCCGAAATGGAAAGCGGAAGAGCAGCTCCAGCTTGACCACATCAGAAGGAAGCCCCTCGGTCCCCATGTGCATATCAGCTTCATCGAAACATCATTGCAAAGGAAGATCCTGCGGCGCTTGCAGACCGCTCGACTGCCGAACTCTGCCAGATTCTACGATGCAGCTCAAAGCGCCAATGAACCCCATCAATCCGTTCGCGAAACCCGCCAACGCCCCCAAACCTCCCGAAACTTACCTTTGGTTAGTAGGGAATGGAAGATAGTAGTAATAGTAGTTATAATTGGACCCCATTCCTCCATTCCCCTACTAACCAAAGGTAAGGAAAGAGCATGAACAATGAATCGAGGCCCCCTGGTGCAAACGACGGAGGCGCCTCGCTGCTCAGCACGGCACCAAGGGCCAGCAGCCAGCGGCCCATCTCGCCTCCAGCGGCTTCCGATGCCCTCGGGTTTGCGGTTTAGGGGCGACTTGAGCCCGCAGTAGGAGCGAGTAGAAGTACGTCAGTTCTCCTTTAGTCATATTCCCTTGCACTGTCAATCGAATGCGCTGCGAACACAGGCAAGCACAAGGACTTTGTACAGTAGAACTTGGACAGAAAACACACAGTTCTCGCCGACGGTCATAACTGACGAAATCGGATGCAGACCAACTAATATCCCTTTGCAAGGCAAGCAACAGAGGAATTTCTCTGCTTTCAGGTACAGATACTGGATCCCTCGCAATCCCTCGAAAAAGTGCTTCTTCTTGGCACTGCACTCAATGGCCAACTCAGGCCGAATGCTGCCCAGCTGTTTGGGCCGAATCAGCTGCGCCGGCACCGTTCAAGCGCATTGGAGCAGACACGGTGCGGAAGGCAGATGTATGACTTGTATGGCTCGCGGCCCGACCAGCGGACAGGCACTGCCGACAGTTCTAGGCTAGCAGTCTCTCGGTTCGACATCGTTCCCAAAGTGTTGCGGCATAATTAACAATAGTCTTCCCTGATCGTCTCTGCAAATGAAACCATAGTGGACCCGAAACTAAACCCTTCATTCTGAAGGTGCCTATATCACGGTCAGGGCCTGATGGTAGCCAGGCGCTTCGCTGGCGCAGAGCCCCGAGGGGTCACCCCGGGCACGGAAGGCCTTTTCTACCTGCGCTGTCGTCCCACCTAACTTAGTGTTGGATTGCACTTACGATCGCACGCCGACATCAGCAAGAAGCTGGACCCCGCTACTTCTGTCCTAAGTGGCTTTGTGAAGGGCAACAAGGTGGGGCTGTGCTACCACGCAACTACATACTGCTGGCACTGTGACTTCTATATTATCTACTGCGTACATACCTGCCCGTGCTGCTCGTTTCGTAACAACAGGCAGATGACATTGCTCCCGAAGTGACTCCTGCTGCTGCAGTCATGTGATGGGATGCGATGCTGGGCTTGGAACGGCGTCTGGAATTTGACTACCAAGACAGTAATGGCTCCTTCAGTCGTAATTATCGTTCCCGCTCTCTCGTAGAAGTCAAGCGTGAACCCAATTTTCAGGCCGCCTCCTCGAAGCCTTCCCGTCCACCCAGGATCGGGAAGCAATCGTGAGAAGTGAGAATCACAGCCTCGGATCACTTTACCTACCGTCCCACCAACCATTGCCACGACGATATGTGCTTCGCCCTCATCATGCGAGCTGGTGCATCATGCTTGCATGCGTGCACGGGTATGAAGTGACACAAGGCAACAAGAGGATGCTGCACGGCGCAATAGGTGCAGTGAACCTGTCTTGGTGGCTGGCTGTTGGTTTTGGTGCACGAGCGCGGAGTAGATCTGGCTTGTCGATACCATACCTCAGCTCGAGTAGCGCTTGGCTGGAAAGCGCGTTTTCGGATCCTCAACAGTAGGGCTCAGGCGACGCCATCTTCCACAGGATTTGCTCGGCATCATAGTTACCTGAGGCGGACTCTCAGGTAACTACGATGCACTCAAGGCAGCTGGGTGTCTATACAGTCAAGCAGCAGGCCTACCTTACCTTGTGCCCAAGGCTGCTGCAAGTGCCTATCTCCAGCTCGCGTCCTGTCCGCGATCCGTTGGCAAAGCTACTGCATCCAAGCAGGCATAATATACACAAATACACATGCAAATGCATTTAAATTTACATTCACATGTACCTTCACATATACAACTGCGTCAACCATTACATCTACGCATACATTTGTAAGCGTATATATACACACATACACATACACACGCTCATGCATGTACACTTACATGTACACTTACGCATACCTGTACTCACACATACAACCATACATAAACATACATACACATGCATATACACACATAGTAGTAGATTAGTAGATATTTTTGACTTTGAGTGCGCTGCTCGAGTCGTCAAGCCTAGCGAAGCTACCGAGACAGATGAATGATCATCCGGCCATTCTGGATGGCATGCCTTTGGCATTCTCCGCAAACGAGCGATGCCCCGAGCCGAAGCTCCCGAAGGCACGCGAGGGATATAACTGAACCTATGCGACTGTACGATCATCAATGACATAGAACAGAAGGTAACTGCTACGATAGGATTGCTCAATCTCGGAAATATTCGCAATCAACGATGCGGGCACATTATCATCTGTGAGAAAGGATTGGCCACTCAAGTGATCATACAAAATTGCCTGATAATGGCCGGAGGTGACTTGCATTCCCAGGTGAATACAAATGGCTTGCAACCTGAAGTAAAGCAGATGCGTGTTGGTCGTATGGTCATCAGTGAAAGTCGGAATGGCGAGTCGTGGCTGATGAGCCACGTGGTCATCACGCTTGCTGCAATCATCGCGGTAGCGAGCCAACTGTATTACCACAAGCTCAGTCCGTCCATTAAGAGCTCGAGTCCCAGCCTGCGTATGCCAGTCGTTGATCAGAGATTGGGTATCATGCATCGTGGAAGCACTGAGTGGGAGGCTGATCACGGGTGAGTTGCCCTCTTCTTCCACGCACATGTGCCTGTCAATCTCAACACGTGTTTGCCAATAGACATCAGGTTGTGGGAATAGCGAGCGGCAGTGCATGTACTGTAAAAACTCGGCAGCATCATGTTGCCTGTGAGGCGATGTCCAGTCCTGTAACAGGTTGAACCAGACAGGCTGAGACAGCAAGAGCTGTGATTGGTGGCACGCAAGTATGCACCTGAATCCTCTCACGAGCCAATCCGGAACCTGAGTGAGATGATCAGGGCAGGAGGTAAGGCTCCAAAGCCAGGACATAAGCACTGCATGCATGTAGCACAGATTAGACGGGTTGCGGAGCCTCAGCTGGAGGATGTGGAGGCGAGTTGGCTCTGGATGTAATTGGCCAGAGGGGATCTCTGCAAACGATCCTGACGAAGGTTCATGCCAACCGTCTGCGTAATAGCCGATTGGCTCAGACGGTGCATTGTATCGAATGTCTCGTGAGCCAGCTGAATCCTCAGGCCTATATCCATCACAAAGACGATAACTGGTGCATCTCCGGTCTCCAAGAGGCTTCTCTTCGCATGGAATCGGTGGAGGACGCCCGGTTGGGCAAAGAGAAAGAGGAGTCGGTCCAGGAGTCGTACGGCCTCTGTGTGGAGAATGGGTTCGTTCTCCCGGTGGATGATGTGTTTCTGCTCCTTGTTGTCCCACTGGAGGTAGTTCCATCCCTTGCAATCTTCCGTAATCCACCCCCTCTGAGCTGCTTGCTCCCTTTGTGCATCGTCCTGCATCGCCTTGGTGATCCGGTTCTTGACTTCGCTGAATAGTGCATGAGCAAGGGCCTGTCTCAACGCCATCGTAGCCTGACCCTTGTCGCGGAGCTCCTTCCAGGCCTTGGCGACCTTCCAGAGGCGATTGGGCATGCCGTCTGGCTGATTGGTGCAGAAAATGATGTATCGGGTATCGAGGGACTGCAGATTCAGAGAGTCTTCGTGACGGAGAAGTAGACGGCAAACGCTCTGCAGCAAGGAGTGCATGCGGCGGAGCTCGGCCTGGAGGTTGTTGGAGTGGGTGGGGCGAGTGGGCTGATTCCTGTTTGGATTGAAGCCCGAACCATTCTCGGAGCGACGCTTGTGGTCCCCCTTGGTGTCGCCCTTCCCTTTCCCATTTGGTCCAGCTTTCCCCTGGTTGGCTCCTCGTGGTGCCTTGGCGGGTCTCTCCGCCAGGGGGTGGGCACTCCTCATCGGCTCCTGCTCGATCTCCATGGCTCTGTCCTCTTGTTCTGGTTCGGTGCCTGGAGCTGACATAATTCCACAGTACACCTTCATTTCGTCCTCCGGAGACAGCTGCTTCGGTTCCGCAGCCGGGAGGCTCTGACTGAGAAAGGATGGAGGTTCGGCGAATGTCATCGAGCGAAGGTTCTCCTGCAAGCGGTCGAGTGGGATGCAAAATGCTCTCCAGAAGCATGCATATGCAGGGCACAAGACAGCTTCGCATGTGAGCGTCCCGCCTTTTGTAGGATTTGCCACACCACACGCAAGGGGACGGCGTGGAGAACTTGCGAACCCGAGCTTCGCATGCATGTAAGATGGAGCTGTATTGAGCATGTTTGGCAAGTATATGGGATTTGATGTAGGAGGAATTGGCAACATACTTGTCACAAAGAGGGCAGTGGTGCTCAAGTTTCTCACGAACGAGCTCATTGTCGATGAGTCGGTGCCAGGGATTTGCGAATAGAATCTGTACAACCTCCGGTGTCTCAATAAGAGGCAGCTGGCAGGAAACGGATGGCCTGATACGCAGGTATTGTTCACCATGTTTGTCCTTATGCTCTCTAAGACCGTCACACTGCGCAAAGGCCACGTGAAGATTAAATTCAGGCCATCCCCAAAAGGCATGCTTGCAGAAGACACATTTAGGCAGACCTTCATCGGCGAATAAAGTATAATCGGCAACAATGTGGGCTTGCCAATCAGGCCTTGTGCTAAGTTTGTGTGCTTTGGCAATATGCTTGTTAAGCGAGGCTTGGTCGCTGTAGAAGACGCCACATTCAGGACACGAGAGGCCTGTGATCTGTAGATTGTCAACAGACAGAAGCCTGGTTTTCGGTGGAATGGTCGTGGCTTGTAGACACGATGTGATATGAGACTGGGTGCACTTCAGCCATTCGAGCACTCTGGCAGGTTGCATGGAGGCTTGGGACTCAACCGTGGAAATCTCCCTAGCAACATCCTCAGCAAAGCATTTGGCTGGCGTGGGAATGCCTGTCTTGACAAAGATCTCCTCATTGGTCTCCCGGGTATAGTAGTTATGACTGCGAGTGATAGTGCGTAGCTGTTTGGCTACCAGACTCGTGCAATCGTGTATGAGATCAGGTGTCAAGCCCGAGCACGTCAAGCCGTATGAAAGTACTGGCCATACTAGCGATCGCCATAGGCGTACTCGCATGTGATCAGAGAGTGCTCGGCGATCTTTGAGGACATGGGCCAGCCTGGCAAACGTGCCGATAGCTTTTTCCTTCCGATGTTGATATGACTCATGTTCTATCCTGCGGTAGGAAAGCATGATCCCAAGGTAGGGATGAGACTTTCGGAGCGGGAGCTTCCATCTGCCAGCAATGATACCTTGGCCAGACGGTAATTTGCAAGTGATGTCTGACATGACCTGCTGTGCCTTGGGGCCTCGGAGCTCGAGCAAGAAGATCGACTTTTCCGCACTGACCTCCAGTTCGCATGAGCATAACGTGTCTAAGATGCGTGAGGCTTCACGGAGTCCGCGTCTCAAATCAGCTACAGTTTTGATAACCCAGCTGCATAAATGATCATCTGCGAACAGGGATAACCCGTCTGTGACAAGGTCGGCGCTCGTCTGCTGCTGTATCATCTGTATGATGAAGCCTGAGGCTAGGGTCCATAATTGAGGTGCGAGGGGACATCCCTGTCTGATTCCTCGACCAGCCAACACCGAAATCTGGTGGTCTCGCAGGCAAAATCTGACTTGCCTGTGCAGTTCAAGGATACAGTTGGTGAGATCGGCCGGCACGGCGGCGGCAACGAGAGCTTGATGTAGGATGGATTCTGGCAGAGTGTCGAACGCACGCGAAAGATCAACGCTCAAGGTCAGCCCGCCTGCCAGGGGCAGGGCTCTGTGGCCCTCTTTGTGGCGATGTATGGTCTGGGATTGACCTTGAAGGAGGTTGCGTACACAGTGGCAATGTGAGGCGATACGACCGATGGCACTTCCTGTTGATCTGCCAGCTAAGTAGGCGAATTGTGGTGCTGTTTGGAGGTATGCTTCTGTGTACGGCTGCAGACGCCTAGCAAGGATAACTCCCAAAGCTTTCGAGATTGGATCCAGTAGACTAATTGGTCTTAGGGCACCAGGTGAGGTCGGAGGTTTGCTGGGTTTCGGTAACAAGGCAAGGTGTGCCTCAGTCCATTCCGGCTCAAATTGGATGCTTCCTGGCCCGAATAAATCAGCGGCTTCAAGAGTGTCTGCTAGCAGGTCCGACGTTGTTTTCCAGAGAATAGCCGGTGGGCAGTGAGCTGGGACGGCTTTCCGGGCTGCCGTTGCTGAGAGTGCATTATGCCATTCCGACCAGGTGATATGCAAGCCCCATGTGAGGGATAGGGGTTCAGGCGCACTGGCGGGGGATCGGTAGAGCTTCTCGAAGAAAGTCTGATAAGCGATTTTAGTTCCTGGTTTGTCGAGAAGCAACCCAGCCTCGTCTCTAAGCTGAATGGCGATCTTCCGGGTTTTAGGGGCAAATCTTTTAGCAGCTTTATAGACCCGGGACATAAGAGAACCAAATCCAGGCTGATCTACTTCCTGCAAGAAGGTCTGCATGGCTTGTCGCTTGCGTTCTCTGGCCTGCTTGGTGATCTGCTTTTGCAGTTCCCGGAGTCTAATGACCTGAATCCATTGCTTCCATAGCACGGCAGTCGTTACAGAGCCGGTAGTGAGATGCCTGAGGGAGCGGCGTAGCTGCCAGAGCTGCTGTATCTGCGCTGGCCAATGGGTGTCGGTACGGTCCACAGGTGATGGTGCCTTGGGTGCGACTGCTTCCCAGGCTTGGGCAAGTTTGGTGTGTAGCCGAGATGGGCCTGGGTCGCTTTGCAGGAC